CTACAACTCTATACAAAAAGAGATAAGAATAAAAATATAGATATATCAAAAGTCTAAATATGAAGAATCAAATCTCCTCAATGTTTGCAAATAACTTCAAATCACTAACAGTAAGTTGAGACAAGTGAGCAAAATTGAAGTCCAAGTCTTACTAACAGAAAAGAGCACTGATCACCAGGTTTCATAAAATAAGATGATATGGACTATCAGAAAGAAAGAATTACAGATTTGTGGAATTCCGTTCCATGTATTAAAAACATTCTGTATCTCACCTAAGCAAGGCTATTGCATCGTATATACATAATTGTTAAATACATCTGCTGAAACCATCTTCAAGTTAGGCTCATATATCCTTACCACATTTCCCTTGCTCTTAGTAATGAAATGCATTTCAGAGCAGAGGTTTCACCAAACCTGAAAATGTACCCACTTTTCTAGTTCATAATTTGTTCTCCCATTAAAAGCCAAGCTACAGTAAAGTTTATCATACAAAGAACAATTTCAGCCAGGCTCAACATTTGCCAATAAGGCTACACACTGTCTTCAACAAAATATTAATGGGACAAATTGTTGCAGTTCTTCTAAAGCTGTCAGACATCTGAGAGATTGTTTAGGGGGCCATACCCTATAGTAACTCTCCTAAATGTTATTATGGCACTAGAATATAGGAATAACTTTAATCTTGCCTATTGAAGTAAGCAGAGTTCCTTGAGAATGTTGTACTGCAGTGAGAAACTTCTACCCATAGAGCTCATATATAAAACAAAACACATGCTCATAAATAAAATCAAAGTGTACTTGCTTTATGATCCCCATAAACTAAATGGATCAATCCATAATAAAGTGGAAGGAGAACATAAAAAAAGCAACGGCTCTGACTGACATTTATATTCTTCTAAAAGCATGACTAAAAGTGTGCTCAGTTTCAACAAACTTAGCTGTAAAAGCCTTCAAACGAGTGGAAAAAGAACAAGCTAGTAGCATTACTGGCCTGGATTTCAATGAGTCTTAAGGTCTCGATATGCTAACCAAAATACTGCTTTCTTTTGTGCTGTCACTACCCACATACTGAGTGTCACAGGGCGCTTCTACACTAAGGGAACTGAAGTTCTTGTGATGGGACAAGCACACAGCATACAACTCCATAATGTGTGGTCCTACAGAAAACCTTCACCTTTAGAACAGTTCTATTGTTATAAAGAAATGGAACTGCCAGAGGTGTACTGCAGTGACTTAGTATAGTATTTAACCATGCTAAGAAACAAAAAAGCAGAAGTGACACTATGCATCCAGGGCACCATGTGGTTCACAAAGGAACCTCTCTCTCTGTAGACTCCAAGTCAAAGGAGGTCAGTGCTGCAGACCTAACTTCCTATCTGTGAGATCCAGAACATCTTCAGGTTTTGTCAGGACTTCTCAAGAGGCATCAAAGAAATTGTCATGCAAGTCTCCAGACAGATTCCTACGAATGGTAGAAAGTCAAATGAGAGAGGCATTAACTGGGAGAGCAATGCATATGCCATTGAGTGCTTCTGTAAATTTTACTCCTTTAATTGTCAGTATTTCTGGCTTTTCCACATCTCAGCAATGATTCTGAGCGGCTTTTCAACAACGTTATGAAAACTGCCCTTCCTGAGCATGAACTCAGGTGACACTTGACACTCAAGTGCTTTTTAGACCAAGGTCTGGAAATACCAAGACATACATGGCAGGTCTTTGCACACAGAGTGGTACCAGGACACCCCTACCAGGAACTGTACACTTCCTACAGTCAGGCTACCTTCCTCGGGTGGTTTTCTATTGTTTCAGTAGGTGCTCCACACCAAATGTGCAAAGCCAATCCAGGGAAGTTCTCATCCCAGCTTGTGTACATCACTATAGGGATGTAATCGCTGAGGCTGGCTGTAGGACTGTAAACCTGAGGTTTTATCCAGGGTATTATTGCTATTTATGTTGTCATTGCAGCATCCATTTCCTTATTTTACTGCAACAAAGCTAAAGCTTTTCAGTATTTTCATTCAGCAATATACCTTTGGAAGACTAGCAGTGGGAGATCACCTCAGTGCAAAAAAGGCTGCAGCTGGGCACTCCCTGGCAAAGTTGAAGAGAAATAGAAAGAGTAGGATTTTGAGTATTACTGAAGGAAAACCAAATCCCAGGTTTATGAAATCAATCCTGCTCCCTCTGCCCTCAAGTATTTTGAATTGTTTGTAAGAGCTCTATCATGGGAGACAAGAAGAACCAAGACCCAAACATCTCCCCTCCACAGCCCAGGGAGGGCCATCCCACAGGATGTTTCCTCTCATTTTCATCCTTGATTTATGAATATTTCATTAAAAAGTTATTTCCCGCCAAAAAGCTTTCCATCAGAAGTTTCTGAAATATAATCTCTTTCAACTCTACTAATTGTATTGGCAGAACGTTATCAATAAATCATTTTACACGGACACTAGTCTGAGTAGTTTTTAAATAAAGTATGCCTAACAGTTTGGATAAAAAATTCCACCTCTACCCTCCATGGTGACTTGGGCAAGGCAGACATGGTGCTCTCTTCTGCAGAAGCAAAGGCTGAAGACAGAGCTGCAAAAGCAAGCAGGTCCTTGCCACCATGGGACTGTGCCTCCACCCAGCATGCTCCAAAGGTCAATGACTACCAAAACTACTGCCCAGAAATTCCTGCCTTTCCTCACTTATCCTCTGAAAAAACAAAAGAAAATATAAGAAAATATAACTACTGTGCATTTAATTATGTTTTAAACTTTTGCCCATGCCTTTGGGGGCATGCAGGACAGCAAATGGAACTGCAACCAATTTCAACAAAATTCTTTGCTTCGATTCCAGTATCATACAAAATACTAAAGCAAGTAGAGCAAATGAGATTATGTTGAGGACAGAATATGCAGACATCCCATTAGAAAGTTTTTCCAGTTATACAGAAGACTTTAGCAGAGTGCACAGAACCAAGATTTTAGCCATAGTATGAAAGTAAATTTGAAGCTACATAACACAATTCCTGTCTTTTCAGGAGAGTTACTGCAACCAATACAGAAAAGTGGTTCTATGAGTAAATATTAGAATAGATAAAAATATGAACGAAGCTCAGGAAAATCTGTGAAGGGGAACAGTGTTTACAAAGTCAGGCTTCTCCATGCTGGAGACTTTCCAGTCTTATGTCCATAATTTTCACAAGAAAAACAACAAGAACAGAACAGCAAGGAGGGAGGCTCCCTGTTGAGCATGAAGTCAAGACAAGTAGAGCCAGGGATACACCCAAGACTGTTTTCTTCATGGCCAGTACTCAGGCATCATTTGTTCTTTAACTAGATGTTTAAAAAGTCAAAATTAGCAGGTACCTGTTAAATTCACTACTTTCAGTTCTACATTTTAAACATCTTGTTTCTTCTGTACTTTCAGCATCTGCATTTCAACTATGTTTCCTAGCACTGGTCTTCAAATAAGCTGTTTTCTATTTAAATTGTTATGTTTCTTTGCATATAAAACCTTCTGTTACTCTTCCAAGAGTACGCAATGCTCTATATTCAAAAAGTTATGAAATCATTCAACAAAACAGTCAATGTCATAAATAGCCAAAAGTACCCTATGCCACATGGGCCTAATTCTTCCCCTCACAGATTTTATTTATTTACAGAACAGTAGTAGTATGTCTATACACATATCTATAGACAAAATAGAAAGTCATTGATTAAGGTTTAAAATTGCCCCAGTTCCTTAAAACTACGCAATAAACATCAGAAAGTGAGGGTAAAGTTCTTCCTTTAATAGCAACAACTGTGATTCCTGAAGTACAATAACTAAGATGCTGCCATTACTCATTATTTATGCAAAGAAAGCAAAAGCAAAATGATACATTTTACTAGTACTTTCACCAGGATCTAACCTGCTACCAGAAATCTAATTCTCCAAAGACTGGTCAGTTTCAATGCTCTTACTGCTGGATGCCCAAAGCACCAGGAAGTTGCACAAATCATATAGCAGCAAAACAAAAAAAGAAAACAAGTGAGACTTAATAACCGTGACAGGTTAAGAGAAGGGAAAACCTGGATAAACAAAAGAATAAAGCTATAATGAAGTAGATATTTTGGTATCCTTGCCCTCAAACAAGGAGTTCTGACATCAGTTGTTCCTGATGCAAATTTCTGAACTTTGCCAGTTCTTTACTGCCTGCAGGTGTTAAATTAGACAACAAGAAACATTGTAGGCTCTTCTGGCAATAATTAAATGCCATTTATTGTAGGTAGAAATAGGAAAGACCCTACCACCTGTTGCTACAAAGGATCATTTCAAAGCTGAACTTCAAGCTTAGGCTGAGATGTAGATTTCATGCCTTGCAGGATGCTTGGGAGGCCAGGCTTGAAAGGCTGGCACCTAGAGATAACGTCAAGTGATTCAAACAGATCTGCAGGTGACACCAGAGATGTCTCAAAGCTGTAACAGCCATTTATTCTCCCAGTGTTAGCATTCACAATATCTGAACATTAATACCCAACATAAACATAATCCAGAAGGATGTAATTCAGAGGAAATTCAGTGTGAATAAGATTGACCTCACGTACATAAATAATCTGAACTGGAGCTGTTAGTGGAAGTTGTAAGCAGTTAAAGCAATTGTGCATAGTGATGGCTCAAGCTGTTTGCCAGTCTGAAAGGTATCTGGTACTGAAAACTTGAGTTGGGAGCAAGGAGAAACAGCAGCTAAGTTTTTGAATGCTACAATAAATGAAATTAGAGACCTTGATCACAAAACACAGCACAATGCAGCAGGCTCAGTCAAGTCAAACCGTTAAGTTTTTTAAAGTTCTCAAAGACACCTCTGCAATTTGAACATTAATCAGTATACTTACCATTTGGGTATACACACAGGAGAGCTGGCATCGATTACAATATGTCAGCATCCTTTGATAAATACTTCTTCAAAATTTATGAACTTAGCCTTCAAAAGCAATCAAGTGACCAATAAATGAGACCAATTGCATACATACATGAGTTGCTTGGCCGATAGTGAGCCCCTGGGTAGCGCCTGCCCATAATGCCGTCAGCACATCCCCGCGCGCTGTCAGCTGCTCCCAGCACAGATCGAAATGCTCAGCTGGGGGAGGAGGAAAGCACAGATTTAGTACAACAGCTGTATCTTTTTCATTAAAATGCTAATGACCCTCACAAATTTCAGGCTAACTACATTTATAAATTATTCATGGCCATGCTGTCAGAGTAGATGAACTGTTGTGCTATACATGCAGCATAAATTTATTATTAGTGCTTGGCCTCCATTAATAAGCTTATATAAATTTGAAGGCACAGAGAAGTCTCAGGTCATACAGCAACTTAATACGGCCCACAGTGCCATCCGAACAAAACACTGCAAGACAGAATTTGCTTTTAGCTATAAATACAGTCAGACAGCAGGTGAAATTTAACAACACTGTCATTTTAATTATCATGCAGCAATCAATAAGCAACAAATTTATCAATATTCTATATTTACTATGGAAGCAAAACTTATCCATGCCACACAACGTCAATTGCTTTGAATCTGTTTCTGAAAACCATTCTTGTCTTTACAGCAATGTAGTCAAACACTAGTGCGTCAGTTTTCCCACAGTAACAAAATCCCCAAGCGACCAAGAAATGCACGGCATGTGTTGGGGTCAGCCCAGAGTAACATACTGCAAACCCTAAACCTCAATCAAAATGCGTCTGAGCCAATAAAATACTAAGCATAAAATATTTTAGTCTGAAAAGAAGAAATCCCATGGCTTCTCTTTCATGCCTTGTAGTGTCTTTTACATCTTTGCAGTTAAATGAATTTTACAACTATCTATCTACTACCTACTCAATGCCAAGGCCTTCCTAAGAGCTGCAAGACAAACCTTGCAGCCATTCATCCGGTGCAGCCAAGGATACACATCACAAAGCAGGCTGCCCGAACTTTCATCTCAGGCTGCCACCTTAAACTACCATTTTCTTTACAGAGTTTGTTGCAGCTCTTATTACTGCTGTATAAGAGTTCACTTTACTCTGCTCTTCCAACACCAGTGGGGAACAAAAGTGTTCCTTTTTTTTTTTTTTTCCAAAAAAAAAGTATATTATGAGTTATGTTCAAATACTGGATGGATAGGTCAAGTTTGCTTCAGTACAGTCTGTAGGATAAACAATCTAATCTCCACACTTCTGATGAACATTAAGCCTTTATCAGTTATCACTTGTATATATTTGCCTGCATATGCTGCTAGTTATGAGGGTTTGCAATGGGTGTTGACTGATTCCTTGGCCTTCCCTGGACCCCTACAGGCAACATTATGTGTGCATTCAAATACAGGTCTACATACATGCATACTGGCTACCCAAAGCTTACACAGCAGACTGCCAGCAGACCTACTGTCACAAGTCTAAGAAAAAGGATAAGAAAAAAGAGAAAAGACTGGAAATGACAGAAGTCACCCAAGTGAGACTCCCTCCATCATCCAGCAGGTGTAATGAGCAGCTGCACAGCAGGAAAGAAGCACTGTGTGAAGTTTCTCAAGGGACGGCTACTCGAGAAATCACATTCTCATACTCTTGGGGTGATGTTCTGACAAAAGCACAATCTTTCCTTTAAAAGTACGGCTTTGAATATCAGGAAATAATTTTGCTGGGAACGGGAAAGAGAATGCCTTTCATTGTTTCAGAACCCACACACATGCCCTGCACCGATAGGTCAGCTTCAGCAAAGAACTCAGGCACTGAAAGAAGAATAAATCCCCAAATTTTCACACTATGCATCTAACGGCTTATTTTGAGATTAATGAAGGTGTGTTTGCATACACACATACAAACATACTGTTTGTACAGTTATGTTTGTACATTTGTTCATGTACAGTGCAAAGTTGGGGATCCCAGCAAGCTGCACAGCCCATGCCAGGTCCTGCTGCAGAGTATGTTTTCACACAGAGCAGCAGTTAGCATCAGCCAGCACAGCTCTGCCAGTAAAGGCTGAAATAAGTGGGCAATATTCAAGTTTGTAATGGTCATTTTGGAATCTCATTCACACCAAGATCAGAGATGTTTATTTCTTCTGAAGTTGCAGATGCCTGTATGCTTTTGTTTTCTGTGGGAAGTTTTCAAGCACAACCAGCTTGTTGTTCTGTTACAGCATTTCATCATTCCCACCATCTTTCCTGCATGCTGTACGAATAAACACAGTGTTGCTGCTGTCCTTCTAAGAATGGATGCAAAACTTAGAAGTAGAGACAAAGCAGGATTGGAAACCCCTGAAAATGTCTTCATTCCTAGGCTTGCCAGCTCTCAATTAACTAATGAGATGCACTACACTTTCTCCAAGCTGGTGAATATGCTAATCTAAAAAAGTTCATTAACTGTTCAAATGGGAAAACAAAAACAAAACCATCACATTTCTCATTTTGGTGTCCTCCATTAAGTACCGAAACATAAACAAGAGAATGACTTCACAACAGTTTATCCAGCTTGCCCATTTCCATCCACGTTACCTCAGCTGTGCTCACGGTGTTTCACCCTTTTGCAGAGCAAAAGCATGGCAGAACACTACCAGGAGAGCAGGGCTTCAAGCCAAAGCTGCTCCCAGGATCACTGAAAGGTCTTCCAAAGACAAGCTGAGCACAAGGTGAAACTGAGCTCAGCTGCTTTCCAGAGTGCAAGGGTAAGAGAGCTGCAGTGTGATAAGAGCACATAGCCTGCACCAGGGTTTCTTTAAATGGTTACCCCGGAGCATCTGGTCTACCACACTTCACACAGCTAACTTCTGACTTCTTGTGGCACTATCTCAAGAAGCCTTTACTCTTCCTACCTTCAAAGTGAAACACTAATGCAAAAATTATGTTCAGATCTTATTATTGATTCCTCCTGTCACCAGAGTTACAATTCCTATTTTTATTTAAATCAGTGCATTATATCCCCAGTCAGCAATGCAAAAGAGCCACAGCATCAACAGTTCTCTCTTTTACCTGTGGCAATGGAGGACTATAAGAAGATATTAGCACAGGCCTTCCTCATACGTGATTTTGATCTCAGATACACAAACTTCAGCAGCCCAGACAAGGCAAGGCAAATTCTCTCATGGTATTTTTCAAAGATCTTAGGGAATGGACAATTATCAAAAGGTATTGTGAAGAACTTTGATGCACAGAGGGAAGCACAAAACGTTTGCCTTAAGAGTAAACAAGAGAGAACACAAAGAAAGGTCCAAACAAGTGGCTCAGTGCAAGCCAACGAGGAACTTCTAGTCACCTTTTGCCACAATCAGGGGAAAAAGGGAAATACAAATATATGAAAGAATAGAAATTACTGGATGATGAAAAAATTACAATTAATGTTGTCATTAATGACCTTGTCATGAAAGGCGTTACTGAAATCTGCTTGACACAAAATGTGGAAGCTCTTCTGCAAGGAAAAAGATGCAGTCCCCAAAAGGAAAACTGAAAGCTGAAGCCTAATAGGAAAGTAATTAAGTGAAATAACACAGAGCAGAAGGTCTGTTCAGGGGATCACTAAGAAATTCTGCTGTCAGTGCTGAGCCACAATGCAAGTGTTTGGAAACTATGGAAGAAAGAGACCTGGGTACATCAGCAGGGCACTGACCTCTGCTTAGCCTCCAGTGGGACGCATCCATGAGGAAGGCAAATTGGTTCTCTGGTTACAGCTAGGAAAACACTGGCACCATTGTGCTAGGTAACGCCCGGACTTCATCCAAAGAGCGCAGCAGCATCTGGTCCTTCACACACCAGAGGGATTAATGGAAAACACAGGAAATTGGAAAATAATCAAGGTAACAGATTTCTATCTTGTACAAGGATATTAAGAGCTTGGCTTACAACAAAATGAAGGCTGAGAGAAGCAACAAAAACTTTAATGCTGGCACAAGAAGAAAGAGCATCTAAAGCAGTCATTACTAAATTTAGGTTGGAAATTAGAACATACCTAACATCAGAGAGACACAGTCCAAGAACAGCCTCCAAAAGGGTATAAAATTACCTTACAATAACCTAGTGGATCTTTATCTAAAAAGTTCTGAACTGGATAATGTGATGGGGCTAAATACCCAAATGAGAGATACCTTCCAGAGTTTTAGTCCCATGGGGTGATTTTTAAAGTTATTTAATTTTATTTTTGTGAAACCAATGTTCCCAAGTTGTGGAATTCCCTAAGAGGTGAATGAGAATCTAAACCACAGCCTGAAGACAAGAATCCAGAGTTATAAAACTGCATGATTACTAAATAACAAACGCATCCAGAAAACAAATACTAAATGAAAACAAGATAACTAAAATTCTGAGCATAAAAATTCAAACCGTAAGATGACTTTCACCTTTTCACCTAAGAGGATTTGGAAAAAACTTTGTAAACAGATTTGCCTTCTGCACAACTTATTTCTCTAAAACTAGAAATGACTGAAAGCAGACAAACTGTTTCTGAAGCATAATTCAGAATTATTTTTAATTTTAAAAGCCTTTTGTCTAGGTATAGTGAAAAAGAAGCATCTGAAATCTCAATATGCCATGAACTAGACAATAGACTCTAACATTATTAGCAGCACTTTTTTTTTAAATGAAGGAATACAGCTTATATGTAGGAATGAGCAACTAGACTGCATTTTGGAAATGAAAACGATTCAGCCCTGCTTTTTCATTTGGGGGAAAAGGTGCTGATGGTTTTGTTTGGTTAGGTTTTTTGGGTTGTTTTTTTTTCTTTTCCTTCCCCACAGAGATACAGAAAAAATTGAAAGTCACAAGGAACTCATATGGACAACAGCTCTGCAGCATCACAAGATAGAGCATCGCATAATGAAACTCTCCTTTGTTTCCCATTTTGGCTGGTTCTGTAGTAGAGCCATCAGATAGAGTGTTTTCATACACCTCTACTGACTTAACAGCTGTACATCTAAAGAAAGGTTGAGGGAACTGGACTTGTTTAGCTTGGAGAAGAAAAGGCTCCAGGGAGACCACATTGTGGCCTTCCAATACTTGAAGGGAGCATATAAACAGGAGGAGGAAATACTATTTACATGGGTTGATAGTGATAGGACAAGGGGCAATGGTTTTAAACTAAGACGGGAGGTTTAGGTTAGATATTAGGAATTAGTTTTTCCTGGAGAGGGTGATGACACACTGGAACAGGTTGCCCAAGGAGGTGGTGGATGCCCCATCCCTGGAGGCATTCAAGGCCAGGCTGGATGTGGCTCTGGGCAGCCTGGTCTGGTGGTTGGTGACCCTGCACATAGCAGGGGGGTTGAAACTAGATGATCATGGAGGTCCTTTTCATCCCACACTATTCTATCTGCCATATAACTTTTTTTTTTTTTTTTTTTTAAAACACATCTTCCTACAGTGAATCTACAGAAACTACACCTATAGACTACAACTACATACCACAACAAAATCTTAGAACTTTGTAAAAAACTTCTAAAAAAGTTTACCGAGTAGTAATTACACTGAAAATGATACAGGATTTTTTGCCAAAGTACTTGTTTAGTCCCACCATCTCTTACAAGTGATAACAAAAAAGTATGCTATTATTTGGTTGTTTCTTGAACTTATTTTTTTTTAAATATACTTTTAAAAAGTATAGTTAACCTCAGGGAACCATTTTACAATGTTTAAAAAGGGAGACGGGTGGGTGAAAACCCAGCTGCTCAAACCAACCAACCAGCTAAGATTTGGTCCAGTCTCTCCATGATGCCCGTGGAAAGATGAGTGCTATATCCATGGTTTGCAAGGTCAGCTGATAATTGTAGAAAGACATTTACTTCTTTGTGGAAGTACAATATACCCAAGTTTCTAAAAATGGCTGAGCCATGTTCTGCACTAACTGCTGTTACATCTGCTGCTGCCAGTAACAGTTGGAAAAGGTGGTAATGAAGCATGATAACAGTACTAATGTAAGTCCATCTCACCTACCTGCTGCAAACCAAGACCTTCCCCAGGGCTCCCTTTACACCCACTGTACAGTGCTGCTATTATGACACCAGAAAACATTTTGTACTTCATTATTTACAAAACTTTATTTTGTAAATAAAGCTTTCCACAAACAAGTGGCTATTTTTCCAGTCTTGAGTGAAGATAAGAGACAGCAGCAGCTTTTCCAGAGCCTCTGCTAAGCCACAGGAAAGGTCTTGCACCCCATCTGCCAAGCAACAAGTGCTACAGGTAAGCTGGTCAGATCTCAGCTCTCTCTGCTGCAAGTGCAGAAGCAGGCCAAAATGAGGTCAACTAAAATGGGACACAAGAAACTCAGCTCCTGGTCTCCCTATGAAATATGACAGAATATATGTATTTTGGACCACATTTGGACCTGAAGGTTAGATTCCACCAACCTTATAGCTTTGTATTCAAGAATTTTAAATGAGGCTTTTAATAAGAAACTGCTTAACCAAAGGAGAGGTCATGCAATCTGAGGTAGGAGCAACCATTGATTTTCTTCTGAGTCTCTGAAACAAGAGACTAGTTTAGCCCCTAGCAAAGAGGCCTGCATCTTACAAAAATTAACTCTTCAGCAGAAATACAGCTGTGCAAGCTGAACTCCTTTAGTAGCAGCAAAATGCCACTGGGTCACAGAGGCAGATGCTGATGCATCTGAAGCACAACCTGAGCTATTGCTGTGTCCACCTGGAGTTTGTTCTTGGCATGGACTTCAAATCTTAAAGCATGTGCTGTAGAAATGTTAAACATATGCTCTGCTTTCAAGTAACTACAAGGCCACATTAATCACAAATATTCCATGCATGTAGCAAGGACAAGATGTTGTGGTTTTATGGTTTTGTGTCAGCAACACTCATGTGAAGCAGATAAGCATGGTTACATGACAAAGTTCATCTTCATGCAGAAAGGAGAACAGATGTACAATGGCAAGTGATGGCAATAACCCCATCAGAAGCACTAACCCAGCCCTTATAAGGGCTGTTCCAAAACCCCACGGGCTGGATGTGACACATGGATGAGCTAAGGAAAGCAGCTCATCAGACCACTTTGCAGAGTTAATGGAGTCATTCTGTACAAAGAGGAAACGTGCACACAGTTTTGCTTCATGTATTGACCCACCAGTTTTCTTGCTTTTGCCTTTCCACTTCTCTCCCCACTTTGCTGGGAAGGAGCAGGCAAGCAGCAAGGTTCGGGCTAAACTACTCATTCGGGTTAGTGCAGAGCAGGACTCCAAACAGCCTTCTGGATAGATTAAATACATCAGCCTCACCTTCCTGCAAAGGAGCAGATGCTTTTGACCTTCCCCTACACCCTTTGCCTCTATACCCCTTTAATTTCTTCTTTGAAACTCAATTGAATCCTGCAAATACCACAAATAGCACACTTTTGATGCATATGTAAATACTAACAGCATGCACAGCTGCACAATTCTCCAGCCAGAGATCTGGCCACATTCCCGGGAATGCTCATGGCCAGCCCTGGCCCCAGGGATGTATGCATATTTCCCCACTAAAAACTTTCCTCCTGGTCAGCTAAAGACAGGACTGAGGGAAGGCACAGGCTATGTTTGCATTTGCACAGATGCTGGGTGTTCCTGACTATGTTGATTATGCAGCAAGATGAGAGTCTATGGTTGCTGTATCCCCACTGGGGCCACACACTCAGTCCTGCTCCTGGGGTCACTGCACTGCAGTTTCATCAAGGCTCTGATAGTCTCTATGGGCTACTAGATTCTGCAATGTCTAAACACTGCACTTTCAGCAAAGTCAAAAGTTTGCAATCTGGGGAAGCACACAGACTTAAGAGCTCCTTTCAGCAGCAAAACCGCGCATCGCCTCCAAGGTGACACAAAAAGCTCAAGGTGAAACGGTAAACAGGTCAATTGTAAGCACCTCCTCACCAGATTTTGACCACAGTAACACTGTCAGATAAAACCAGAAGGAGGTACTCTGCTGCACAGCTCTTATTTCCTCCCTTAGTCTAAAAACATCCATTTGCAGGGAGGAATTCCAGAATACTTACTGATCAAATTAGTCATTACTCTTTAATAGTTTCCCATTGGTTAAAAAAAAATAATCAAATTAACTCAAAACTCAACCATACAGTTACATAAAGCATGAACTAGTTAAACAAAACACTGCTCTCCAAATTATTAAAATCACATGCCTGGGTTTTTCCAGTCCTAGGCCAGGTTTTTCCTCTGGAAAAACTCTGTCTGGAAAAAGGGGTCATACAAAGCACTGTGCCCTAGAAGGAAATTGCTACTTACAACCTCTCACAGAATCACAGAATTGTAGGGGCTGGATTTAGCTTCATGCTCAACTGCTCCATGCTCATCAAGCACCTCTTCATGCTCATCTGGAAAGCCATTTGCTACTTGATTCAACAGCAAGTATTATTCCCCACATATGATGGGCATAGGTTCTTGACTTTTTGGATTGGACAAAAGTTACTGTGACTTCTGCCACAAACACCGCATCTGACAAAGCCAGGTTTCCTATGATTTGTGCCCTCCAGCTATTCCTCCTGTTCTGCTACTGAACTGTCAAGTTCAAGTCTTTGGCTAGTAAATGTCGCTATCCTACTTAGACTTGGGAAACTACAGTACATAATCAGGAACTCAAACCAGGGCTTTCAGAGTTCATCTTTGAATCAGATTCCATCTTAGCCCAACTGTAAGCACTCACAATCTTACTGAAGACTACAAGCATTCAAAACACGCCACAGGAAACCATACCTCTGCTATAAAAAGAACATTGAGATCCAACAAGAGGGCCCACATCAGTAGATATACTGACACCACAGAGAAATGGCACTACCATAAGACACCTCTGATGCATAAAACCCTTTCTCATGTGAGAAGACAATGTTATAGTGCTTTTTTGCACACAAAGCTAAAAAAGCTACAATATGCAAGAGAAAAGAAACTGATTACTACTCTTGTACTAGAGTATCTGGGACATCCTTACTAACAAACATCGTGATAAATATTCATATTTCTATCCAGTACTTATGGTATCTCCTGTCTATGCTGGAAGAAGTTTGAGGCTACATCATCTGAGATGTGTAACGAGAAATGCACAGAAGGAGCTCCCTCTCCACCCCCAGTAGATTCTCAGACATATTACCATTTATTTAATTCATTAATACGAGATACAGCAGAAGACTTACTCTCCCCAGCTCACCAGTGGAAAGTCTGTACTGGAACACCAAGTCCTTGGTACCTCGGCACCGGCACTCTCTCAGGTCACAATGAAGAAACAAAGTGGGCTGCAAAGCAAAAACATCACATATTACAAGTTTTTCTTTATGACAAAATCAAGGAGGGATTTTAAACTCTCCTGCACTCTGCACCACAGACCTGTGGTTTCTCCATGCATAAATGCTAAGCATCAGTCAGAAAGTAAATTCAGATAAAGAGAATGAGTCCACAGGTTAGAAAAAAGCAGCAAGAAGTCCTCACTAAACAGCACATTAATTCACTTTACAAGTTAAAGCAAAACATCTTCTCAGTTATGCTTGTGCTCAGTAGACAACAGGTATATAATTTATTTTTGCAAATTCAGTTTGCTTTAACAGGCAGACCTCAGCCTGCCTGTCCTCTGGTAAATGACTACATTAACGCTGTGGATTTGGTCTTGAAAAACATATCGGAATTACTGCCACACAGCAATGGAAGTGACGTTATCTCCCTATCGGCAGATGCTTCGTCAGCAGAGATCTGTCAGTCAGGCTATGCGCTAGGATTCAAAGTATTCAACTTTATATTTTCTCCAGATGTGGGAGAAATAAACATGCGAAAGACCGAAGATAGAAATCTCATCTGCTGTACAGCTTCAAAAACATTTTTTTTAAAAGTGAAAGCCAGTCTAAAGTAAGGCAAATCATGTTCCATTTTAAACAGATTTGGTTTTTTCCTGTCCTTGTTCTAAGAGGAAATCAAGAACTATAAATTCCAGTAAGCACCAAGACAGAAGAGATCATTTAAGAGAGATAAAAACATTCTCTTTGAAATCATGTGTTATCTGGGAACTTAAGAAATGAATATTTCTATAAACAAGATGAATAAAAATTTTAAGATTTAAAGTTTTTTGAAGAAATCAAGCAATTACACTCGAATAAAACTGTGCTTTAACAACAACAAAAATCCAAACACCTTCTCCAGAGGGCAGGAAGGAAACAGAACAATGCTTGGTGCTCATTAGACTAATATTCTAACCCAATCTAATGGGCACAATTGTGGACTTTTGTATCAGGTGATCAGACTTTAGTGTAAGAGAGAGAACATGCATTATGTTAACATCCTCATGCCAGCAAAGCCAAGAAACTTGTCATTTCCTCCTGTCTGAGGCTCATGGCCTTACATAAAAAGACTTTCTGGAGTAAGCATAAGAACCTCAATCCTCTCCACAGACCGGGCATACGGTCTGGTTTATTCCCCATTCATTCTAAGGGTTTTCTTCCTGAGAGAAACAAATGGATGCATCCATCTGTGCTGGTATGGCTGTTCTTATAATTAATCCTCTTCACCCTGTACATGAAACTTAATTTGCCCTAGATCAAGCCTAGCGTAACTGCAGCAGAAACAGTGCTTAATTCAATAAAAACCAGACAACAACTCAAAAAGCATTTTATGTCTGTAAAGAGAAATATTTTTATTTTTCACTAAAACTGATGTAGGTTCAGTCAGTTCTGAGATATGAGAAAAGGCCAAAATGCCAAGTACAGCTCTCGAAGGTGGGAATAACTGAACTCTCAAACAACAGACAGCCAGGGCAGAAGGCTGCAGTTGCTACCTGCAGCCTTGGTTAGGGACATTTTGCAACGTTGGCAGCATTTGTCAAAGTGCAGCAGCTACGTATCACTTCCCATGGTGGCTTTGTTCCCTCTCTGCAGTGGACAGGACATGGAAGGAGACTGGAGTTGAGTCCCAGCTCCCACAGGGAAGGTGAGCTTTGCAGTGCCTCTGTGAAGTGCCTGGGAGAACTCTTCCTCACATGGACAGTAATCAGCAGGAAGCTCCAACTGTGAGTTCTGACAAGAGACATCTGACTTTGAATCCAGAGGGATATAACGCTGACAAATTCCTGAAGCAGTGCACGCCAGCATTTCAGATTCCCAGCTGGGAACTTCCCCATCCCCGCAGTCCTTCCCTTCTCTCCACATCCTGGAGGACACTTCCACCACTCTACCCATGCTTTCACCATATTGCCTACTTTGAAAACTGTCAGGTCTGAAAACGATAGTGGGATGAAGATGGGACTGGTTTTGCAATCCCCTTCCTGCTTATATATCTTAGTGTTTCAAAGAAAACCTTGGACAGCCAACAATGCAGCAAGCTGCCTTGCAAACCTATGCAAAACAAAATTATTTATTTAGGACTTCATTAAAAGCAGTAAATTGGAAGGCAGGTAACATGCAGGCACTGATCATAGAATCAAAGAATGGCTTGGATTGGAAGGGACCTCAAGGATCATGAATCTCTAACCCCCCCCTCCCCGCCACAGGCAGGGCCACCAACCTCCACATTTAATACTAGACCAGGGTACCCAGGGCCCCATCCAACCCGGCCTTGAACACCTCCAGATAAGGGGCAATCTGCTATTTTCTTCAGAACCGAATTAGTACATAATAAACACCTACAGGCAGTAAAGTAGAGACATGCTGTTGCAACCAATAAAATAAACAACTGGCAGCTTGAGGAAGTACCAGGTGCAAGTTGAGCAATGTCAATGGTCTCTACTTCCTTCATTCGCAGAGATGGAGGAACAACCATATATGCTTAAACCAGATATTCCTGGCTTTCCATAGGACATGGACCTGTGACTTGCTCTTCAATCAGCCTCAGAGACCAAGCAACAGGACCCTGCGCAAATCACAGCATCTCTGTTAGAAGTGATAAAAACAAGTAACAGCAGCCAGCGAGAAAACATTTGGGGAGCTATCAGACCTGTTGAGAAGTTAGCACAAATCTCACTTTTGTAGCTCTCTCAAAACAGTGACATCTACTTGATGACACCTCCCTGCGATTTGCAATATTTGACCCTCAGACTATCTCCCACGCTTTTAGAATTGAAGCAGTTAGGAGCCATGCATGAGATTTAGGATATTACCTATACACTGATGAGCAAAATGACAGCAGTACGAAGGCAGTAACAGGTACTGTCCTCCAGCTCTCCCTGCATAGACATGTAGGGTATGCTGCATTCCTGTTACCAGACAGGAGACTGCCTTGTCTTTCAAGCAGGGACTGAAGGATCTCACCTACTCCTCTTTTAAACTTTCCACTCTTTCCCCTAGTTTAAAAATAGAAGAATAGAAAGAGTCCAGCATGACATCAATATTTAATAAGTACTGCATGGTCAGCTATTTTAGGGATGAATTATTCTCTCTTTCCTTCTAGAAAGCACACTGTCTGTTTGTAACTAGTCTGCTGGGGGCTCTCAAAAGGAAAAGGAAGCGAGAAGGAGGGGCTGAGTTTTTTTCTGTGGTTTCTAGGGGCATTAGTGTGGAAATAGTTAAACAACAACAAGAAAATAGGAATGATGATTTCCTTCAAGTATGAAAGCTGCCAGGTGTATCATTACATTGAGCTTCAGTCTGACAAGTCAAGGATGCTCATGACATAATGAAGGGTAAAAAGAGTCATTAAACGTGGTAAGGGAGAAAGCAGCTGTCATTGCCTGAAGAATTTCCTGACGTTTTTAGTATCTTTCTTATTCTGCAAAGAAATTGGAGCTTCTTTGACAGCAGGTTTTGCCAAACCCACAGAAGGAAGAATCTTACACATTAATTCACTTTGTGCCCCAGAAGGCTGAAAGGAAGAGAGCATCATTTAGATGGCATTTAACCTTCACAAGTTTTTGAAAGTCAGGGGAAGAGGCTCACATACCCCATCGCATTTCACTACATTCAGAAGCATTTTTTTCCACAATTAGTGCCTAAAACACCAAAATACACGTCACTACTTATAAATTCTGAAAAGTGCAATCAATGAAGAGTTTCAGCTACCCATCATCTACAGTGAAGTCCTAACCTTTCCCTTCACAGTGAAAAAGTATTCTGGACAACAACCTCTCAATCCTATCTGCTGGAATTATCAAGGCTTTTTGAAACACAGTCTCTATGTTATGTGCCAGTGCTGTGAGTCAGCTCTCACTCCCATGCTGAGCATCCATCACCACACTCTGGCTCAGGGTATCTGTAACAGGAGGCACTGCATAAAGGGCTCAGAAGCCCCAGGACCAGTACAGGACCAAGACACGCTCCTGGAGAGGGCAGAGGTGTGCCAGGATGTCCCATGTCAAGCTGGAACATGGGGATGGGTCTCCTGCCTGCCCACACATGGCAGCCACAAGGCTACCACAGAAGAGACAGCAAGAGGACAGCTCGGCATTCACAGATCACACCCAAGCCTGTCCCCTTTGTTTTTGTGATTCTTTTTATTAAAAATGCTCAAAGCGGAAATTGGAAGGTGTTCTGTTTTGGTTTTTTTTTTTTTTCCCTTTAAGAGTTTTGCACAAATGGAGAAGGAGAAGGGCAGAGCCAAGAGGCTTGCCTTTCAGGCCACTCTGGACCAAATCTATATTCTCATTTTGGCAACCTTACTCCAGCCCTTCACAGTCACGTGATGCCTATGCCTCCTGGTTGCCAGCAGTCATTCCCAAACACCAGGGCATTATTTTGGCCCCTGACTGCATGACTTACTGCTTTGCTCTGCTCTGACTTCTCACTTAGCTGTGCTGCATTGCAGACACTGAAGCAGCAGAAGACCACTCCTGTCAGGATTCCACCTCAGGAGAAGGAATTCACAGATACCTGCCCTCCTCCTGAACACCTCCAGAAGAAATCCAGTTGTTTTTCCAGCCAGCACCGCAGTTTTGTCCATATAAAGGCATTCCTTAGGAGCCTCTGCCACACGCTGCCTCCCTGCTCCAGAATAAGGACTTGAACCTCCAGGCAAAGCCCTTCACACATCCAGGGTACAATCACATTTCGCAGACTGATTGACTGGTGGGGTCCCATGTACAAGTCCCATACTCTGGGATAGGGTTTGCAGTGTGCCCAGCATCCCCCAGGCAGAAAGATCCCCAGGCCCACCCTTTCCCTCCAGCTTTCAGCATCTACACCGTGTCTGCTGTTGAACTTGCAAAAACAACAAGAGATGAGTACAGAATAGACAAATAGCTGCCATTACAAAACTGTTATAGAAAACACCTGGACTGAGGCTGATGCTCTGGGTTACTATGTCAAAAACACAGCATGATCCC